GAGTCCTGAGTCTGGGGCTTCCAGTGAGGCCTCAGCTCCACTCTAGGCCCCCACTGGCTTCCCTTTAGAGAAGGCATCCAGGTACTTTCCCCGCTTCCCTTGAGGGCAGGGAGCTGCCTGTGCTCACCTCAGAGTGGTCCTGGGGCGTCCCCTTTGGGCTGGGGGATTTTTCCTCCCTAGTTGTCCTGCCCTGGGGGTAAGGGCGGTTGTTCCCACCTTCCTGCCTCCCTGACTGGGGCCTTCATCCCGGAAGACCAGGCCTGGCTCCTAATGTGGGCGGAGGTGGCCGCCTGTGTTGGCTGCCTCAGGAGTAGCAGGGTCCCCTCCCCTCAAGAGAGCCCCTTCTCATCACAGTGGCATTATCCTCTGAAGGCCCCTTCTTGCCCCTTCCCCATGTCTCCTCACAGGTCCAGGAAGAAGGACAAACACTTTCGGGGCCCCAGAGTTGTGGGGCCCGGGGAACAGCACAGCCGCCACCTCAGGGGCTGAGGCCGGCTGTTATCTAACCCCTGGGGACTGTTAAACTGCCATTTCTCCTGGCTTGGTGGGTGTCCTTGGATGTCCTTTGCAGCGGAGAGTGAAATTACCCAGCCCTGCACTGTCACTTTGGCTAGAAAAAGGCCCTCGCTGAGCCTGCCTTGCTGTCTATGCAAATATATGCAAATGCTCAGGGCCCTTGTGTCACTCCAATGTGAAAGGGGATGGGAGGGGAGCCTGGGGGGTTTTTTGGGGGGTGAGGTGGGGTGGGGAGATGGCATTGTTGTTCTGAAGCCAAAGAGCTCTCCTCCTGTGTGTGTGCTGCCCCCGAGTGGGCCCTGGGCGCCACACCGACCCGTGCCTCCTCGGTTGCCCCCTGGGGTTTGCGAGCTGCTGGCTGGAGGCCCAGCATGAGGGCTTTCCCTGGGGTTTTGTTAGATTTGGAGGCAGCTGTCCCCAGGGGGTGAAGTCCTCTTTTTACCCCAGCTTCTCACGTGGCCTCACCTCCCCCTTTGAACTGTAGACTCCCATCCCAATAAAATGCTCTTGGTGGAGCTGTGACATTGGATGGAGCTGTCCCTTGGGCTGGTTTCTAAGCACTGGCACTCACCTTCTCCCACAGACTCCGTCCTTCTCCCCTCCCCTTCCAACCACTTCAGGCCCTCTGGGTTGGAACACCCCTCTGCTCACAGCTGCCTTGTCTGCACCCCTGGGACATGTAGAAAAACGAGGTGGGTTTTGGAGTCTGAGTCCTGAGCTCAAATCCAGGCCGAGCGATCTTGGGCAAGTTAATCTCCGGGAGCCCCTGTGTTTCTTATTCTCAAAAAAACGGGAATTGAGAGGCTGGGGAAGAGACGAAATCAAGCAATATAAGCAAAATGCCTGTCCCGCCTGTGGCCCTCAAAAGCTATTTCACTCCTTTCAGGGTTTTGGGGGGAAAAGAGAGGACCACCCCCAACCAGGCTTCTGGGCTGGGGAGGCGAGGGAGCCACTAGGTGGCGCCCTGGCCCCACATTTGCTCCAGACCCTGCCTCCCCCACTACCTAGTGCCCCAAATCTCTGACCCCACCCCACTGACCCTGGGCCTGCTCACTGGCCAGCTTCCCCAAGAAGACCCAGGCTCCCCTGGGCTACGTTTTAGGGAGTCCTTCCTGACTGGGCTTCTTGATGCCGTGGGCGTCCGCTAGCCAGTGTAGGGGACAGGATTCGGGGCGTGACTTCCGGCCAGGTCGGGAGTGGTGTTAGTGAAGGGGACAGGGCCTGCAGGGTCCGGAATTTATAGCAAGCGCTGATGTACCACTAGGACGTGCCACTCACTGTTCAAAGGCTGTATGTCTGATCATTTGATTCAGCAGTTGGGGTGGGGGCGGGTTGAGTCGGCTGGGAATGGACCGAAGGCCACGCATTCGACGAAAGTTTATCAAGTCTGTTGTGTGCCTGCTTTCTGCAGCAAGACAGGCTGACGGCAGTGAGACCTGAGGAAGACTTTCCTCCTAGGCAGAGGGTCTGTGACAGGGGCTGAGGGGCTCTAAGAAAGGAGTCTTCTCTTTCTGGGGAGGGGGTGGGGGTGCACGTACAGGCTGGCCAAGGGCCAGGGTCTGGAGTTGGCATCGCGGCTCTGTGGACCCCTTGTCCTTCACGAGGAAGCCATCGTAGCCTGTTCACCTTGCTCATCTGCTGCAGGCGCCAAAAACTTACGCTGCCTGTGAGGCTGACGGGAAACTTGGGTTTCCGGGAGAGGGATTCAGGCTAGAAGGTAGGCAGGATTCTGTGTTCTGGTGAGGGCTGGCTGGGCGGGCTGGCCTTAGGAGAGAGGACACAAGCTGGCCTCCCTGCCTCCCTGGGTTCCCACAGGGTTTTGACTCTGGCTTGGGCCACTTGGGGCCACTTGGGGCGTCTCAGTTTCATTTCTAGGCCCCTTCGTTTCCTTCGTTTGCATAACGGACTCTCAGGGAGGCTAGGAAGTTCCCCCAAGCGCCCCTCTTTCTTACCCGCTCAGGAAGTACGTATGCTGAGTTGGAGGTTTTGGAAACCGCTGAGTCAGGAGGAAAAGAACCAGGACCCCAAGGGGTGTGTTGGGGGAGGGCCAGGACACCAGGGACATGGCCACTCTGACGACCCTCTCTGGGGTGCCCAGCACAGGTCATTTGGCCCCTTGCTCCACAACAGCCCTGGTCAAGACGGGGGCCCAGGTCCCAGATCATAGGATGCTCTCTTGATCTGGGCCAGCGTGTGGAGATGAGCTAAGGGAGGCTGGAGAAGGGGACACTACACACCTCCCTTCCCACAGGGCTTGGGGACAGCTCCCGGCTGGGTGGGGGACCAGGAAGCCTGCGTACAGACCTTGGCCTCCCAGGGTCTGCTCTGGGCCCTTCCTGTGTAAGCGCTTGGTATTTTGAGCGCTTGGTATTTTGAGCGCTTGGCTTTTTTGCCCTTTCTGTTGGGGACTCCCCCAGCTAATAGCTCAGCTCCCGGGGGCCTTGGGGGGATTACTGGAGGAGGGGGTGGCCCTCTTGTGCCTTCCCCCATCAAATGGAAAAATTCTGCTTCCTTTGGACACTCCTTTCCCAGCCGTCCTCCAATCTGCCATCTCTCTCTCCTCGTATTCTTCAGCCTTACCCCCCTTCTCTCTGCTTCTCCAGCTGCCCTCAGCTCAGCCTTCTCTCACCAATGCCCGCCCCCAATCCTTACCTCCCCCAGGCTCTCCCCATCTCCCCCTGCTTCCCAGCCTTTTCCCACTGCTTCCAGTCTCACTTATCCTGGGGTCCCCGAAATGGGGGTGGTGGCTAGAATTTGGTGGTGGGTCATCTTTAGGCCTGTACCACCCCCATAAGCTTCTTGAGGGTCAAAGGCCTGTGTTCCTTTTGAAAACTACTCTTAGCCTCCCCGTTCCCTGCTGGGCCCAAGGACAGACGCTGGCCTGGCTGGCTGTTGCTATGGGAACTCCCAGGGCCGCCCTTGTGTATGCACCTCTCCTCATCCCGGCTTGTTCTGGGCCCCAGGTGCTCCTGGTCCCTTCACACTTCACATGCGCATAGAAGGTCTAGTAGGGAGGCTGCAGAGTGGCTGGGGGTGTTACCGACCTAACCCCAGAAAACAGCAGGTTCCTCCCCTCCCATCTCACCCTCACCACCCGACCCTCTGAGCCACAGAAGCCCCTTGTCACCAATTCTTGTTGGTTGTCTGGGCTCCCTCCTCCTCCCCTGGCCGGCCTTCCCTAGCCCTGCCCCTAAGGGACAAAAGCAGGCCCCTCCCCACTCACCTGTTCTTTATTCTGGGCCAGATGGAGGCCCAGCCTGGCTCTCTGTTAACTAGGCCTTTGGGATGAGCAAAGCCAGGCTCAGGTCTCCACAGTGGGGACAGGTGGTGCCTGCCTAGGGCCTTGAGTAAGGCGCGCCCCCCCATCCCTCCGCGCTCCCCCACTCCGCTTTAGGGCTCAGCTTTCTCATTATTAAAGTGGAGACTGTAGAGAGCCCCTTCATAGTTTGTTGTCACTAGAAGATACACAAAAAGGTTTCTCAAACTGTAGAGTACTGTTAGAAGTAGTAGTGATTTTTATTTGACTTAAGCTCTAGCAGAGAAGCCGGGGTCTCCGTGAGCTACTGAGAGGGTGTTGGCCCCCCACTTGGCAACAGGAGTTGGCAGGGAAAAGGCTATAGCGTTCAAGTCCCAACACAAGGTGCCGTGGGGACCCCAACCCTTGTCCGTGAAGCTAACTGGGCTGGTTTAACACAAAGCAGGATTTTCAAAGTACTCTCTCACAATGGTGTCGGAGGAGGAGGTGAGGAAGAAGGGAGTGGCCTTTGAGCTGGACCTTTTAAAGGATAATAGTGACAGGGGAGGGGATTTCAAAAGGGCAGAGGTGAGGCCCGAGGGGAGGGTGGAACAGCCCTGTGGCCAGAAGGTAAAGTTCACTTTCAGGAGGGAACAAATTCTCCCACAGACCCACGCCTGCACGTCTAAGGGGGAGCTTTGCTGTAGGAGATGGGGAGGGGTGCAGGCATTTGAGGGGCAGGGGGCACCTGTATGAAGGAAGATGCGCATGGGTGCACTGTTGCTGGTGGCCTGAAGGACGGAATGGAGAGAGGTGAAATTGGAGGTGTCAGGCAACCGGCCCAGGAGGGAGGTGACAGGGACCTGATTTCGATCAGTGAATTAGAATGGACTGGCCTTGGATGGGACAAGGATAGGGAGAGGGAGAGTCGAGGACACTTTCAGCTCCCAGCCTCGTGACAGGGGGATGACTGCATCCCCATGCGATGCTGGGAAAGGGAGGCGAGGCTAAACTGGTTTGTTGGGGTGGGGGGTGAGGGGAAGCTGCCGGGCTTGATTTGCAGGATACGGTTGGACGGGGGTAGAGCAACCCTCCCAGCAGGTCACCTCTGCTCCACCGAGTTCATGTCCCATCATGCCCCCCGCCCCTCGCCGTTCCTCTCTAGGGCAGGACCCATTTGAGGAAATTCTTAGCAGCCCCAGACATTGACTGAGCTTGAGGGGAGGCACCCGGCAGAGAGGAGTGACCCTCTCCAGCGTCAAGGGACAGGTCGTGGGCTGGGGCAGGACAGGCAGAAACCTGAAGGCACGACCTGTGCAGAGGCAAATGGTAGATGGTGCCCTGCATGGCTAGTCACCCGAGGGCAAAGCCGACCGCCAGAAATGCTTTGCCTGGCTGGAATGCAACCTCGGGCCTCGCTGACGCAGCTTTGTAGGGAGGGACCAGTGCACAAACGGTGGCATGCGGCCCGCAGAGAGACAGGCAGTGTACTCTTCGGAGCAATTCCACAACTTTTACTTCACTGAGAAGTAGATCTTAAAGAAGGTATAACCATAAATGTCCCTATTTTTCAGATGAAGAAACTGAGAGCGATGAGGTGACTTGCTTAAGGTCCCATCATAGCTGGCCAGTGACAGTGGAGGAGGACTGGTCCCCAGGCAGCTTTTAGGACACCAGTGGGCATTTGAAATGTCCAGAATGGCTGCTCACCCCCCGCCCCCTTCCCCATCAGCTGACCCAGAGGTTGGAAGCAACGTCTGAGCTCCCATCTCTGTGTCTCTTTAGCCGACTCCCCTCCCTGGGCTTGTGGATCTCCCACTTCAGCTACTGGGCACCTGGCCCTGGAGGCATTTCCTCTCTGGCCACCAGCTGTCACCTTATGGGCCCCAGCTGTGGCTAGGAGAAGGCCGGCCCTGGAAAGACCCTTCACGAGAGTCAGAGCCACCTGTTTTGTTGTTCAGAGGTGGCAACTGAGGTCCAAGGTCACAAAGCTTGCTAGGGGACAGAGTGGAGACCAGAGCCTCAGCTGCTGACCCCTGACTAAGTCCCCCTGTTCCCGTCCCGTCCCCTCCCCTCCCCTCCCCTCCTCTCTCTGACTCTTCAAGCTTGGCATTCAGGCTCTGAGGCGCGGTCTGAAGGACCAGCTGGCTACAAGACAGGTTCTTTCTTGTGCTGTCTCTGAGCAGTGACTTCACACATGAGACATCCGACAATGGCCACACGGGGGCGGCCACAGGAGGACGGGAAGTTGGACCTGCCCAGGTCAGGGATGGGAGAGGAGAGAGGGGTCTCCA